TGTATTAGTATCTAAGAAACAAAACCAAAAAAAAAAAAAAAAAGCACAGCTATTAAAAGGAAAAGGGTAAGTTGGACTTCATCAAAATTTAAAATTTGATGTTACAAATGATAAAGTGAATAGACAGCTCTCAGAATGGAAGAAAATATTTGCAATAAGGTATAATATCCATCCAGAATATATAAAGGCCATGGTGGTGGCTCACACCTGTGATCCAGCACTTTGGGAGGCCAAGATGAGAAGACTGCTTGAGGCCAGGAGTTTCAGACTAGCCTGGGCAACATAGAAAGACCCCATCTGTACAAAAAAATACAAAAAGTAGTTGGGTATGGTGGCTCATCCCTGTAATCCCAGCTGCTTAGGAGGCTGAGGTGGGAGGATCACTTGTGTCTGGGAGGTCGAGGCTGCAGTGAGCTGAGATTACACCACTGTACTCCAGCCTGAGCAACAAAACAAGACCATGTCTCAAAAAAAAAAAGACAGGCCGGGCGCGGTGGCTCAAGCCTGTAATCCCAGCACTTTGGGAGGCCGAGACGGGCGGATCACGAGGTCAGGAGATCGAGACCATCCTGGCTAACACGGTGAAACCTCGTCTCTACTAAAAAATACAAAAAAAATTAGCCGGGCATAGTGGCGGGGGCCTGTAGTCCCAGCTACTCGGGAGGCTGAGCCAGGATAATAACTTTAACCCAGGAGGCGGAGGTTGCAGTGAGCTGAGATTGTGCCACTGCACTCCAACCTGGGCAACAGAGCGAGACTCCGTCTCAAAAAAAAAAAAAAAAAAAAAGACTACACATTGGGTACAGTGTATACACTGCTCAGCTGCTCAGGTGATGTGTACATCACAATCTCAGAAATCACCAGTAAAAAACTTATTCTTGTAACTACTACCCATTCCCCAAAAACCTATTGGAAAAAAAATAGACAAAATAGCTGGGCGCGGTGGCTCATGCCTGTAATCCCAGCACTTTGGGAGGCCTGAGATTTAGGGGATCACTTCTGATGTCAAGATTCGAGACCAGCCTGGGCCAATATGGGGAAACTCCCATTTCTACTAAAGATACAAAAAAAGGCTGGGTGTGGCTGGGTGTGCACCTGTAATCCCGCTACTCGGGAGAACTGGGGGGTGCCAGGAGAATGCTTGAAACTGGGAGGCAGAGGTAGCAGCCGAGCCAAGATGTGCCATTGCACTCCAGCCATGGCGCGACACAGGCGAAGACTCCATTTCACGAAAAACAAAAAAAATACGCAGGCATGGGACCATGCTGTAGTCGCCAGCTACTCAGGAGGCTGAGGCGAAAAGTCTCTTGAACCCGGGAGTGGAAGGTTTTCAGTGAGCTGAGATAACCCACGCCACTCCAGCTTGGGCAACAGAGCGAGACTCCAATCTCAAAAAAAAAAAAAAAGAAAAAGACAAAACAGGTTTGGAAGGAATAGAGAAATTGGAGCTCATCCACATTTGACTCTTGAACAACTTGATGGTTAGGGGTGCTGACCTTCCACACAATTGAAAATCTGCCTGTAACTTTTTTTTGTTTTGTTTTGTTTTTTAAAAAACGAGATTTCGCTCTGTCACTCAGGCCAGAATGCAGTGGTGTGATTATAGCTCACTGCAACCTTGAACTGCTGGGCTCAAGCGATCCTCCTGCCTCAGTCCCCCAAGTAGCTGGAACTATATGTGTGCACCACCATGCCTGGTTAATTTTTTTCTTTTTGGAGAGATAAGGTCTCACTATGTTACCCAGGCTGGTCCTGAACTCCTAGGCTCAAGTGATCCTCCCATCTTGGCTTCCCAAAGTGGTAGGATTACAGGCGTGAGCCACCATGCCAGGCTACATATAACTTTTGACTCCCCAAAAATCCAGCCAGGTGCAGTGGCTCACCTCTGTAATTCCAGCACTTTGGGAGGCCAAGCTGGGAGGATTGCTTGAGCCCAGGAGTTTGAGATCAGCCTGGAAAATAGAGGGCAACCCCACCTCTATGAAAATTTTAAAAATTAGTTGGGTGTGGTGGCGCACACCTGTAGTCCCAGCTACTCAGGAGGCAGTGGTGGGAGGATTGCTTGAGTTGGGAGGTCAAGTCTGCAGTGAGCCTTGATCATACCACTGTACTCCAGCCTGGGCAACAGAGTGAGATCCTGTCTCAAAATATCTTAACTACTAATGGCCCACTGTTGTCCAGAGGCCTCAGGGATTATATAAACAGTCGATTAACATTTTTTTTTAATGTGAGCCAAAGATTTATGTCTTCATTTCTTGCATTTGAAGTACTCTTCGATGACATCCTTGGCCTGAGACTCTTTGCCATAGTCCTTTACTATATAACTGCAACCAACCACTTTACGGGGCTTCCCTTCTCTCAGTTTTACAGAGGCCTACCCATTCCCCTAGTTTCTTGCTGTCATCAACCTTAATTAGGTTCAGCACAAAGGGCCTCCACCAACTTGTCATACATAGGCTCATCACAGTTGGATGAAAGCACACAAAGATGGGCTTGGCACTTGTCTAAGGCTTTGGCAGCTTCGCGAATTCCACGTGCTAGGCCATCGTGGATGAGGGCGGTCTTCAGCACCTCTTGTAAAGCAGTATTAACGTCCATTACACCTCCAGCAGCAAGGTCTTCATTCTCATCGTCTTCACATTGAGTAAGCGGAGGAGCGAGGGGTGCAGAAGAGGAGGGTTGGTCTTGCTGTCTTAGGGGTGCAGACGCAGAAAGAGGTGGAGGAGGTAGATGGAGAGAGCAGGCACATTCAGCTGTAACTTTCTTTTTTACCAGCCCCCCGGTGTTTAAAGTTGTAACTTTAATTAAATTTAATTAGTTTTTTGAAT